CTAGAAGTAGGATGCATAAATCCTGATAGGCCATATTTAGACATCAATCAAATTTATCGATAGGTTCTATTATAAATGAGTTCAGATACACGTGCGTGGGATGCAGTGAAATTGGCTTAAAGTTGTAAGCCCATAGGATTTAATGACTGTAATTAATAATCAAATTAACATTATTGATCAACAAGATTCATGGATGTGGCATTACGATAATAAAGGTATCTACATTGTTAAAAGGCATTACAAGTTTTATATGAATTATATTTGCAATATTAGATATTCCGGTAACATGGTTTTAAGTGAGTGATGGAGGAAATAAACCGTGGAGTGCAAATATTCCCTCTAAAATTAAGAGTTGTCACGTGAATGACTTTTCACCGTTAAAAATAAAGATGTATGAATGTATCACCTATATGTCATTTGTGTAATAAGAAGATGAATATGGTAAACAACGTTTTATTAGGCTGTCAACTGGCAAAATGATATGGAAATGGTTGTTGCTGATCATAAGTGCTCTACATATTTTAACCAACAAAGATTTTTGGCGATCTAGAATAATCAAAGCACCATTTATATARTTTTCAAATCATATATCTTCATACACCATTTATATAATTTTCAAATCATATATCTTCAAGGTTTGATAGTAAAGAACACTTAAAAAAAGGTTTGGAGYTATTATTAGAGATAACAAAGGTTTGATTAAAGTGACAATGATTAATAGTATTAACTTACATTATTTTCGYTTGGATGCGGAGTTCCAGCTGGCGGTTATGCAACTATCACATCTTTTGGCTGAATCATATTCTTGTGAACTAACTCATAACCCGCGTGGAAAAAGTGATAGATATGAATCTCACACTTTAGAGGATATCTGATATTTTTCATATTCAACAACATTGTTCTATTGCATGTCGTGATGAATTTCAACGTATGCGCTCACAAGCTTGGAGTTGTGATTGCATGTATTTCCTTTTCGATAACTGGGAGTCGGAGCTTTGCTGCCCTATACCAAGGAGCACTCGCGTCCGCCCTAAGGTCCGGACTCGGGAGACGTCAAGAGTTTTTGGTATTAAGCTCACTATAAAATTCGAACATGAGACATCTAATCCAATATAACCAAGAGACTCCAAGTCCTTGCCAATTAATTGGATGAAATATCTAACGTTAACTTTTCTACATGCATGTGGACTAAGTAGCATTTGTTGTTTTTAATATAAAAAAAAAGGCAGATAAATTAATGTGGTCCCAAGATTTGATACGATGGGGCCAGGGAAAAATATATATATATAATTCTCACAAGTTCTCATTCTAGTATATTATAATATCCAACAAAAGAGAAAATTTAAACGTTAACTATTTTTATTGTACCCTTAGAAATCTACTGGATRTTTATGGAAGAGCCTCCGAAGAATGCATAAATTTCGCAAAGTCGGCTCTCCTATTTTCTCCTGATGTTCATCCAGATAGGCAACGCTACGTTCAGAACATTCTTAATGTCAATTTGGTGAAACATTTTGGGAACTATCTTGGTTGCCATCTCATTTCACTAGGAGGAACGGTATGGACTGAAATTTTCTTAAGGACAGGATCTGGAAAACTTTGCAAGGTTGGAAACGCTCTCTTTTATCTGTGGGTGGTAAAGAGGTTCTCATCAAGAGTGTGGGCCAGATAATTTTCTCAYACGCTATGAGTGTGTTTCGCCTCCCTAAAGGCTTTTGTGCAAAGATTTCTCAAATGTTTGCTCGCTTTTGGTGGGRTTCAACAAATGAGTAACGGAAACTTCACTGGATGAAATGGGAAAGAATATGTTATCCAAAGGAATATGATGGTTTAAATTTTCGGGATTTAGAAGGCTTTAACCAAGCTTTGGTGGCTAAACAAGTTTGACGTGTATTACATAATCCAGACCTTCTAGTCTCTAAAGTCCTAAAAGCCTAGTACTTTAAGGACTCATCTTTAATCCAAGCTAAAAGACCTCAAAATCGTCCAATTTTTGGCAAGGTTTTCTTTGGGGGAGAGACTTTCTTGTACGCGGATTGCGTCTTCGTGTTGGGAGTGGATCCTCTATCAAAGTGTTTATCGATCATTGGATTCCAAGGCCTATCACTTTTAGACCAATCATGATTAATAGTGGGAGATCAAATGTAAATGTGGCAGATTTTATCACTCAACAAGGGGAATTGGATACTCATTTAGTCTCCACTTTCTTTATGTGTTGAAGATAAAGACCTAATTCTATTTCTTCCTATAAGTCCTTGTAACCTACAGGWCTTCTGGTTGTGGCACCATGACAAACGAGGTTCTTACTGTGTAAAGAGTGGTTACAAACTTTTTATGCATAAAAAATGTTCTTTGGAATCTTTTTTTTTAATCTACCAGAAATATTTACAGGGGTGATCAATGGAATTTTCTATGAACCTCTTTGTCCCAACAAAAATTAAAATATTCCTATGGAGAGCAGYTCATCTTCATTCTAGAGGGATAGATAGATGTGTTGCCTGTCTGTTCTGTATGCTTGAAGAAGGGTGAAAGCACGTCTCATGCCCTGTTCCATTGCTTGCGCACACAGATCATCTGGCATACTCTTTTCCCATCGCTATCTTGTCTCTATGCACATTCCAATTTCAAGTTTATGGATCAATGACTCTTTCTTTCCCAACACCTCAACCCAGATGAAAAAAATTTGGCAACAATTAGCTGTTGGACAATCTGGATGGATTGCAATTCCTCGCTTCATGGGAAACAAATCTCCCCTCCTGCCATCAGATGTGATTGGATAGTGTYGTACCTTAATAACTACAGGCAAGCTCAAGCAAGAATCACTACCTCACCGAGGGCGATTTCTCATCCCCAAATCCCTCAGTGGTGGAAGCCTCCCACKGGTAGCTCTCTCAAAATCAACACAGATTGCGTGCCAAAGTATCGCAACAGGCATTGGACTGGTTATTYGGGACCCAAGTGGTTCTCTAATCGCGACAAAATCAATTCGAACCCCTTCATTGATGTTAACGCTGCTCGCGGAAATTCGGGGATCCTTGAAGGTTTAAAGTTTGCCACTGCTATTCATTGCTCCCGTTTAGAAGTAGAATCAGACTCCCTGACGGCCATCCACTTGATTGGAGGAGAGATTCACACTATGGGAGACGAACTGAGTTGGTTGGAGGAGGTGAAATCCCTAGCCCTTTCCTTTGATTTCATTTCCTTCAACTATGCATCTCGAAGCTGCAACCACTCGACCCACAGTCTAGTAAAATGGAGTGTTTCTTCACCATCAGTCACGTGTGTTTGACAATCTTATTTCCCTAGTTGGCTCTTGGACTTCGTACRAAGGGATTTCCCTTCAATTGATGTCCTAGTGGCTTAATTTAATACCACTATTCCTTAAAAAAAAACCATTTTATTATATTAATGTTTGGAAAACATTTGGCTCAGTTAATGGAGAGATTTMTTCCTTACTATTAAATATTTGACAACTCATTGTCGTTTGTTTTTTTTATATTTTTCTCTCTTACTTGTCAAATATTTAATGGTGTTAAGGAGYAAAAATTTCCTTAACTTGAATCAAGTTGTTTCCTTAATRTTTTACCAATGCACGTTGTATACAATTTTGTGTATAATGTGGATGATAGACTCAACCCACACTTAGTCGGATGATTGGAGAAAGGCACCCATAAATCACACATGACATAGGCTATTCTTGTCAACGATTTTGATAGCTATATTAGTTTTAAAATTTGTTATTCAATTTATATTTCTTTAAAATATACATCGTTTTCTAGTTTGTTTTTTATATAGCATTATCCTTTAAATTAGCCCTTTTTATAATTTAGCCTGAAAARACACCCCAAGCTGAAATTTTATCCACAAAAGAGAGAGAGAAAAAAAGAAAAAAGCAAAAAGAAAAAGACTGTACGTGACAAATAAAAGTCCCACTGAAATGACCTATACGTGGAGCTTTGAAAATCTTCATCTGCATGCCGCCGTCGTCTGTTCCAGCTTTCTGAGCTTATTAATCCGCCATTGATTTCTCCTCCACTTGCTTCTCCACTCTCGCCATGCTGACGGCCTCTCCGGAGTTTCATTTTGCGCGCATTTCCTCTTAAAAGTTTCGAGAAATGTCCCCGTGTTCTTCATTCAGTGTCGGCCAGTAATTGTTTCTTGGAGTGCTTCATAACATTTCCACGATTGTGCTATCGATTGCGAAAGAAGAGGAGAAGTTAATTACTTCTGCAAGTTTTTGTCTACTTTCTCTCGGCGAGGTTTGATTTGCAGGTATTGTGTTTATGATGGCAATACCAACAGCATTTTCAAGGCCGAATCACTAT